GACCACAATAAAAGTGTTATTGTACCATTTTACTTCAAGCAAAACTATTAGGAAAGTCAAAAAAAAGAGTTTTAAAAATCTGAAATAAGTAGATATAGCATAGAATGTAAAAGTTCATATTTAAAATGTATTGATTAGTGGCCTCTCCAGTGGCGCAGCGGGTTCAGCACAGTGCTGTGAAGCTGACTGCAGCCTCTGCAGCACGGGTTCGATTTCAGTTGGGGAGATTCTCACATGGTGAGGCAGACCTCTCCTGTCTTGCCCACTGCTGTCCTCAGCAGTGTATTTCCATCTGCTCCCCGCTCTGTCTCTGGTGAATCCTCTCACCCTCCTGCACCTCTGGCTTGTACCCAGTTCTTGTATAAAAATAAAAAAATCTTTAAAAAATAAATACATACATACATTCATACATACACAAAATATATTGATTAGTGACAGTGTTCAAGAAGTAAACTGAACTCTTGGCTCAAGTCTCAATTAAACACACAAAGAAATTTACCACCTCAAAATATAACGAAGGAAAATAATAGGGTTACTTTTACTTCACTTTATAAAAGGGGTGAAGGGGGGAACCAAACTTGAGAAGAAGGGGAGGAAATAACAGAGGTGAAGAAGAAAGGAGATGGTAAATAAGTGTTAGTGGTCACCACTATAATTCCTACATGCAAAGGTAAGTTTAAAAATCTCAGTTAAATGCAGAAAGCTAAAAACCTACCATCTATGACTACAGCTTGATATTTTGCATTTCCTCTCCAGTGTCTTACTTCCACCCTTTACATCCTCTCTGGTACTTTCTAGAAAGGTAGCCACACTGATGAGGTTCAGAGACAATTAACTACTAATTAACAGTTAACTCAGATCATTGTTTGGACTCAAACAGAAAACAAGAACAGTAAGTACAAAACACTTAGTGGCAGGAGGTGCCAAAAAGATATGCTATTAAAGAAAAGTGAAATTTACTGATAAGAAAGGAAATAAAAACTAAAGGAAGAGCTGAACAAATCTCAGGGTCTCGATGAGGAGAAACTACATCAATCATGAAACTGCATGTAGGATGCTACTGAAAAATTTTAAATTAAAGGAGAATAAACATTAAAGGTATAAACTTGCAAAGTAGATAAATAAGTTCTCAAGATCTAATGAACAACAATACAATACTGCATTATGAGATTTCAAGTTGATAAGAGAGCAAATCCTAATTATTCTTATCACAAAAAGAGAAATGATATATATGTGATATGGTAGAAGTATTAATTAAAGCTATGGAAGCAATCATATTACACTATATAAATGCATTATACAAATGTGTCAAATCAACACAATGCTACTCAGTGTTGCATGTCAATTATATCTCAGTAAACAAGAAAGAATGAATATTTTAAGAATCAACAAAGTTCTGAGAATAAGGCTGGAATTCTAAAATCAAATATTCATGATCATTAGTGAGAATTTACTTCATGCCCCACTATGTGCTAGGCCTTTCTATGCATTACCTCAATTAGTCTTTACCAGAATTATGTTATTATCACGGTCTGGGTGATGAAGAAAAAGAGGTCCAGAGAGATTAAATAGCTACCCCAAAGATACACAACCACTAAACAGAAAATCCCCCCAAGAGGAAAAAAAACAATAAAGAAATAATAACTGTAGCTCATATTTATTATATCCCACTGGGGCCCTTGTTCTATCATCATTGTCATCATCATCATCACATCAATGAGAAAATGTCAAGCCACCCAATCCAGAGAATCCAGAGGATGGGCAAGAGCATCAAATATGTGTGTGATGTCCATCTGGTATCCTATTCAAGTTCAACAAATCCACTTTGGGCAATATTTGTCTAGTCTTCATTTTGAATGATCAGTTTATACTCCTGGTTTGGGCTTTTGCAAGATGAAGGATGGTTGATCTCTCAGCCTGAGAGTCAAAGAGCAGAGAGTTCCTGTTTGATCATTTGACCTTGCTCTTTGGCCGAAGATGAAATTGTGTTGACAGTAAGCCTAGTGTCATGAGCCTGCACCCTGTTTGGGGTCCTGGAACTCATGCTCTGGAGAACCTGTGCTTGATCAAGAACTTTGCTGTCACTATTTCAAAATTCTTGATCATTTTATCTTTGAATTGATGTTTTCTAAGCAGCATCCAAGGAGACAATGGAGAATATATGTGAGTAGAGGAGAAACACGTTTATTCTATTTCTTGCCAGCCTATCTATGCACATATAGCACTTGTGTTGTCCCATGACTCATAACATGTGAAATTCTGAGAGATTCAAGGAGAGCAAAAGATAAGTAAGTACACTGCATGACTATAATGTGTACATATCAAGAAACAAAATAAAAAAAGAGTTGTGTTAGGTTTGTACAGCCTTTACACTATTTTGGTGTGAACAAAACTACATATGCATATACAGATACAAAATATATATAGGACATCCCTGGTGGTGGAAGGGGTTAAGTCACAGCACTATGAAGCTAACTGCAGTCATTGCAGCACAGCAGGGCACAAATTTAATCCCTGGCCAGCCAGGGAAGTGACTCATGTGGCACAGCAGACCTCTCCTGTCTTGCCTGCTGCTCCCCTTAGCTGTGTATTTCAGTCAATCTGCCTGTTCTGTGCCCTATTCTGTCTCTGGTGAATCCTCTCACCCCTTCCCATGCAGCTCTGGCCTGTACCCCAACTCTTGTATGTATAAATAAATAAATCTTTCTTAAAAATTAAAATAAAAACAAAACAAAATATATATATAGTGTAATTTTGGTTTATACTAGATAAATGCCCCAATGCATTAATAATTGACATTGTACAATATAAAGATGAACAGTGAAATTCATGCTAATAGTTTAAATGTTTATGCTTTCTTTACTTAGAATTAAATTTACTAAGACATTAAATAGCAAATACAGCATGACCTCTCCAGAGAGAGAATCTGTGGAAGAAAGGAAAAAACTTTATGTTTCAGTGCTTTTGATGGCACTGTCTCCCTGCATTTCGAACAAGAGATCTGGCATTTTTATTTTGCATTGTGTCTACTGACTAGGTAGCCAGTCCTAGGTGACAGGTTCTATGTGCCTGAGAGCAAGGGTATTTCTGAGGCATTCCTTTCTTGTTTGAGTTCATCCCCACAAACCCTGAGTCACTCTTTAGCCTAGGGAACTTCTAGTGTTTTGGAGGAGGCAAGGCTAGTTATACTCCCACTACTTTGGAGTAACTGGACCCTTAACACTGCTATCCCCTTCTCTATACCTTGATTGGGTTAAGTCACCTTTTTCTGTGATTCCAGAATCCTAACCATGTTTTTCTGAGCACTTATTCTATGTGGCTTCATTATTATATTTTCTCTTACTCACTGGACCATTAAATAGTACTTGAATTATGAAGACAAGGAAACTGTTCATTCATCTTTTCACATCCAGACACTAAACATGATGTCAGACATTTGCAACTGGTGCATTTATATCTCTTCCTCCTAATGTCCACCTCTTCACCCTCTTCTCTACCTCAACACACATATGTAATAAAATCCTTTCTCCCTTAGCCCCTAATTGTAGGGAGAGCACTGTTTCCTTTTCATCCTACTGAATGAAAATATAAGGGCAAATAATGTGATCCTACATAAGAAAGATGTCTGCAACAAACAAACCCTTCTTCCACCTCATGACAATTTTCAGTCTATTGTACCACTTCTATCAAAGTAAAATGAAAGACAGAAACAAAAGATCAGAATATGATTCCCAGATTAACTTCTAGCACACACCTCTAGCCAAACCACTCAAGTTTTCAGAACCTCAATTTCTTCATTTTATTAAGTAGGTGTGATAGAGTACCATCAAAGCTACAGTGGTGATACACGCACGTAGCTTCTATTTTTGCTTTATGTTTTGTATATCCATGATACATAACTAGTTTCATTATTGTTATTCCTGTTTTTGAAGAATTTATATTATTCTATTCAAATTTAATATTATATCCACTGAATGTTTAGTTAAGAGCAAAGACCAGAGAAGACCGTTAAGCACCTGCTCCTGAGGTTAAATACTATGACAATGTATCAAGTTTCACTGATTAAGATTTCATGGATGAACTAGAACCTGAAATAAATTGTTCTGGTCTATAAGGGTAAAGGTTAGGAGGAAAATTTAAGCAAGGTATACACTAACTGTGTTCTTATTCATGAGTATGCCAATTCCTTTGGAGTTGTATGAACCAGTTATATCTCAAAAGAGAATATGACATATATTCACTTAGACTCTGTCATCCCAATTTTACCAATTTTACCAACAGAGCTGCTTGTTTGATTCTATGAATGAATGGTGACATTAATGTCCAGTGGTACTTACCTTTCCTTACAATTCCAATTTTCAGAGAAAGGCATCTTCCTACTAACTATATATTTATTACTCAATATATAGTGAGTATGGATTGTGAGGACAGAAGGATAATATGCCAACTGCCCTTAGGAAAACTCAGAGCCTTTCATAGAATACCAGAACGAGGTACCAGCTTATTTCCCTGAGGTGTGGGTGGACTTCTTAAACTCAACATTTGGACTCATGTCACAAACTCTCTGTGTGTGGTGTGTGTGTGTGTGTGTGTGTGTGTGTGTGTGTGTGTGTGTGTAGATGAGAGCTGATGAGGGAAGAGTCTAGGGTGAGATAGGTAAGAGACTAGGAAGAGATAAGGCAATGGTGGCAGTTACTGAGTCAGCGGCTGCTGGTAGCAGTGACTTCAAGAACTGGACACAGAAGCAGAAACTATTTTTAAATTGTACTTTCTTTTACTGCCAACCTGTTGCAGAAGAACATAGATTTTCTTCATGAATCATGGACCTTTTATTCTGGGTTTTCTCTTCTTTATCTGTAAGAAATCTTTGGAACAACAAATATTTAAGACCTAATCTCAAATTTTTTCCAGTATCTAACTTTGCCGTGATTAATCTGCTTCTTAATAAACAGTAGGAAATTCCTGATTTTATTAGTCATTTATTCTGCTTTCTTTCTTAGTTCTCTCCTGGACAACTCTAATGAGGACAGAGTACTTCTGAAGCCTGGCCATTTTTGGCCAGATAAAGAGAAACTTCTTGACAGAATGTTCTGTGTACTTCACCGGTGCTGTGATGGAATGCCAGCGATGTGCTCAAAGCGGCCTGACACACGCAACAGTATGTTTGTTCACTGGAATATTAAGCAGGGAAACAATTCTCCAGCACAAGCTTTGTGATATGTTGATCACAAGCCCTTAGATTCTAGCTTCTTCCCTATCCACACATTGCCCCTCTACCCCCAGAAATGTGCATTTTAATTACACATTTTGTGGCAAGATTTACGACAATTATCACCCAAATCCATAATTAGCAAGTGGTAACAGATAGGCAGATAGATCCACTTATAGTGACATCTCTGACAGATTGACACCCCCCCCACACCCTTAAAAAATACCTGCAAGGCTTTTCATTTTAAATGTGGCCATGGTCTAACACAGAGCTGGCAAGCCTAGTCTCGTGTTCACAGAGGGGGAGGGGGCTATAAAAACAACATGTTCTCACAAGCATGGCAGAGCCCATGCATAAACCATTTGGTTTTGCAATTAAAAACAGGTTTGGCTTCCCTCTGCATCAGTAAGACAACGTCAAAGCAACATTCATCCCGAAAATTTTCCCTTGTGAATTCAAATGAACTGTGAGTCTTGGGTTTCTCTTTTGTTTGCATGTGCATGCCTTGAGAGTGAATTTTTGGAAGGGTTTTTTGTGTTTCTTTCTGGGGTAATAAGTTGATATGTATGTGTTGAATTATTGCTACCAGTTTGGTCTCAGAGACACTTTCCAGTTTGTGTTCCTTGGATACGTGGTTAGCATTTTGGATTCATTCTGTCAGGCTTATTACTACAAGTAAATTAATTCTCCAAGTCCGACCCTTTTGCCCTAGGAAATGATCACTCATTCTACAGATCTGCCTGAGCAATTGACTCTCACAGACTGACCTGACTTTCAAAGATACTGGAAAACATAAATATGTTTATTACTAGGAAGTGTCGTAAACTTGACTACAAGGACGGCTTAATTATATCTTCATTGCTGACATTCTTGAACGATGCATTGCACTGTTAGATTCTATAATATCGGGAGACATTACAATCTTAAAGCTAAAATCTTTGCTTTCCTTGGACAATGAAAAGCTTAGCAGGGTACTATGAAATCCACTCCTAAAAATTCCAGTACATTCACCAATTTTCCTTTCTTTCATTTGTTTCCTCATTCAATTGAGCAGTAAGAAATAGTGCCCTGATTTCAGCATTTACTGTTAAAAGAGAAACTCAAAATTTTGGTCACAGAAGAAACTACAAAGCATCAAGACCGAAACCATGAGACTAAAACCTTCAGAACCCTAGCCATTTACCAATGAAGAGGTCTTAGCTAAAGGAGAGGTCACTGAACTCAGGCCCAGCCACTGTTGTTCAAGAAAAGTTCTATAAAAAAGACAATATTAAGAATGACAATCTTTTAAGAATAGTGATGATGACTATTAATTAAATAGAAATGGACAAAATAAGAAAAATTAATCTCACTAAAAGTTATTATGGACTGAGTCAACCTCTATCTAATTTATAAAATTCTCATCAAAATCTATTAAGGAAGTTTTAGGTTATTTACAATTCTTTGGATGGAATTGTTTTATTTTCTATCATCCCAACAGTTGTTCAATACAATAATTACTAAAAAAAAATTACTTTTTATTATATCATTCTCAAAATCCATAGCTTGAGATAAATATGATATTTTTACAAAGTGTGAAAAAATATTGGGACTAATTAATTAATAATATGATAATAAACTTGAAATATGTGTAGTCACATTGATGTTTCAAGAATTATTTTAATCTCTTATATCTTACCTTTATGTAAAAGTATAGATGCATGTACATAATTTTATATTATTCAAAAGTTTATGTTTGACATGCTTTTGAGACTATGCAGACTCCATGAATAAAAAAAGAGAAAAGAGCTTTTAGTACAAATTTTCATTTCTGCTTTGATAAAGGAAATCAATTCCTTCAATTAACAAGATATAACCTATAAATAAATATTTAACATGTTCATTAATTCAATGTGCTGGAGAATTTGCAGATTTCTGCCTCCCATTTGCTGAGCTGCACTTTCTAATCATATACATGAAAGTTTAACTTAAGAGGTAACTTTAAGTCCAACAAAGACAGAAATAAATTCAACTTTAACATCACCAAAAATAACAATATAATAGTGCAAAAAGTCACATGAAAATAAATATATATGTATAATAAAAATAAATTTAAATTTAAAATACTCTGTCATTTCAGGCTTCTCCATTTGTCAAATATTGCTTCTTTTTGAAAAAGATTTTTAATGAGCAAGGAAACACTATCAATTAATTTAAATTTTGATTGGAGGGGGGAGAAAGTCTATGTCTTTTACAAGCGTACACATTTTACAAAACTTGTTTATATGAGTATATTCCTTATTAATTCAGTGTTAATAGCTTCATTCACTCATGGTTATGTATCTGAAGTGGTGTAAAAAATACAAAGGTATAATGGTATTATTGGCCCTTTAAACTCAAGTTTTCAAATACCCAATAAATGACACAATTAAGCAACTAAAGAAGGTTATTGAGTTAGAGAAGGGTTAAAGAATGAAATATTCAGAACTCATTTGAAAATGTGATAATTAGTTTTTGCAAGAGATCCAATAGGCCAAATGTAAAGAATGGCTTCTAGGTTGAAGAATCAGAAAGTTATTAAAGAAAAAATTCTTAGATCTTAATCACAAGCTTACATTTCAGTAAATTAAACACCCTCCTTATAAAGAAAAAAATGTACACAAGTCATTATGTCATTATACTAATTTGTCATATGCCTAAACTGAAAAATCCCATTGCTACACTATTCTCAACAAGAATTACATAGTACTTTCTAAAAGTTGGCTATTATTTTTCTTGTTGTTGCTATTGAGTTTTATTTTTAAGCAACACATCACTTAAAAATTGGAGAATTTGCTTTACAAAATTTACTAGAAATCATTTTCTGAAGAGGATTTCTTATTAGGGAAAAAGGAATTTGAAGGACCTGCATGTTGGAGCCACGGCACTTTTACACGGCTCATAGAAGGCCAAACATGAATAAATAGCAGGCAAATTCTCCCTTGGCTTCCTGTGCTTTAGTGCAAGGGACAGAGCTTAAAAGTGAAATTCTGACTCTCCTCTTCGGATTTCTGGTCACACATACCCTGTAAAAACATGGCTGAATGCACAGACTTAACACACAGGTGCGTTTTGGAAGTCGCTAGTAAAAATGATTTTAAAACATTCGGAAACTGCCAAGTGCTGAGAAAATGCTTATTAAAGACTAATAAAATCGTGAAAATTGAGGAGAAAACATCCAGTAAATTTTTTGGTGTGCTGTAAGGAAGTTGGTTTAGTCTCTATCCACGTGGGCTTGGCCGTGGTAAACTCGGGCAAGAAAAACAAGCTTGGCCATTATTTCACAACAGAATGTTACGGAGAGTGAAAAACAGCAGTTCAGTATTCACAAGGTCACCCCAAAGGCAGTTTTTCTCCCCTTTACCATTATAATTCTAGATTTTTCACAAGTGATTAGAAATTCTGCAAAAACATCTCCCCACACAGTATGTAATTTCACCCATGAAAATGAAGTATAAATACTATCAAATGGAGTGTAATATGGTCCTTGAGTCTATTTCGGCCAGATATCTGGACCAGGAGGTTGAGGACTAAGTGAATTTGGTCATATTTAACAACTGGTCTAGGATTGCTTTGTCTCTAGAAAGTACAAGAAGTATTAAAGCTGTAGTTTCATAGTTCTTGATGTTGCCAACTAATCACCTTCTAAGAAGTTATGGTATTGCAAAGGCCACAATAATTATAATTTTTCACCAATTGTTTGATACATGTGTAGACTGATTAACTTTTTTAAGTTAAAAATTATTTTGATCTAGTAATATTAATCAGCTAAGTGCTGCATGAAAACCTCTTTTCTGAGAACACAGAGACTCTGGTCTTTATTCAGTAGCACTGTTTACAAACCTGGTGAAACCCAAGTATTTCCTACATTGTTAATTAAAAATATGCATTCTTGACCACTGTCCTAGAACAAAAGAATCAAAATCTCTAAATAAGTGTCCTGAACATACACAAATTTTTAGGCATCCTTGGTGATTTTTATGATGAAGCATGTTTGGGAGACTCAGCTTAATTTGAATAGATTCAATGTTTAAACAACAAAATGCCTAAGAATAATAGAGGAATTTCTTCTACATAGCTCCAAAAAGTATATGATCTTTTTCTGTAGAGGTTCCCTGAGTTCTGGTGTGTAGATTTAGAGATGGTACAACAACCAGTAGCGTAGCCAGTATTTGATTCCCAATCAGAACACGCACAAACACGAACAAACTAACATTTTTAAAAGTGATCTCTAAAACTTCAAGGCATTATACAGAGTAAAAATTGCAACAAAAGAACTTCAAACATAGCAGTCAAAAAAGTGTCAATGTTAAATGAAAGAGAAAAATTATTCAATTATGTAATATTTTATTATCCATACTACTGTCTACGTTTTTAGAATCTATCCCAACATAGTGAATTTAATACATCATATCATGTGAGCCTAAACAAAATGTGTATTCATGTAAATATTCATGTAGACTTCCAAGAATGTAACTTCTGAGAAAAGAATCAGGAAACAGCTGGTTGCTTTGAAGGAAAAAGTATAGTGCAGCCAGAAAAATATAGTGCTTTTTTTTTTCTAGATCGTTACTTTTGTATTGAAAAGAATATTCATTATAAAACCAGGAAATATCAATAAATATAAAATATGAAAATTACTTTGTTTTCATCTTTTAATTAAGAATACTATACCACACTCCACTGTGATTAATAAATCTGATTGTTTTTTAGAGACTCTAAAGTCATTCAGATTGCCTATGTGCTAGTTTACATAACAAACAAGTAAAAAATAAGGCAAGCATCAATTCAGTGGGCCAGAGCATGCAAACTCTATGTAATAAAAGCTCCTCTAATGTAACAGCATCTCTTATGGTCAAATATCCTTCCCATTCCCTATTTCCATAAACAAAAAAATACATATAAAATTAAACTAGTGAGATATAGATGAACAAACTTATACCTCATCATGAAATTAATATTCTAAATATTTTCCCAGTGCATTCTTCTGAAAAATCTGCATCTGAATAAGTTGCTACTACCACTAATCACAGTAACACTCTGTCTTTATATATCAAAAAAGATAATCATATATAGTAAATCAAAGGCTTTGTATCACCTATTACATATGAAGAAACTAAGGAACAGTTTGCTGACGTGCTCATAGGTGCTGGAAGGTGTTTTCAGATCAGTGAAGCTGATCAATATCCCAGAAAGATCCAGTGGCAATTAAGGAGAAAAGAACAATTACTTTAATTATTAGTTGTATCTGTATATCCAATTAAATAATTGTCATTTCCATAAAACTTCACAAGAGAAAAACCATAATGAATAATTTAATTTGAAAGTAATAACATGAAATTTTTACCTCCAGAAATTTTAGTAACTTTGACTGCAGTGGCAATCTGTGCCACAGAGCATTGCTTGCCCTTTCACTTAACTTAAATGTCTCCCGGGGATCCTAATAGC